GGGAGAGGGGGGGTTGGGTGACCTCATCAACCATGTACAGAAATCATCTATAAAATAAAGCCCGTCCATCTGTCATGGCCCACATCATGGCCCACATCATAGCCTACGGCCCACAGTGTTGTTGGACCAGACTCAGGTCTGCCTCCACACACACACACACACACACACACGTGCTCTGTCATTGGTTGACCTTCACGTGTCCTCGTCTATATTTACACCTGGTCCTGGACCAGAGGACACAGCTCCCCCTGGTCTCCCTGCCTCCTCATTGGTCCATCCTGGCCTGTATCTGAGCTCGTTAGTGCTCCTCCAGGAGCGGCCTTGATTCCGGCTGCTCCACACTGGGAGCAGATGGAGACCGTATGATGCCTTGGCTGACGAGCTCCTCCCCACTGCGCCTCCTGTTTTTGTCCGGCTCGGGGCTGGAGGCGGGGCTTTAACTCAGTCAGGTGTGAGTGTCTAACATTAGAGGAGCTGTGGACTCCTCCTGTGGACTCCTCCTGTGGACTCCTCCTGTGGACTCCTCCTGGACTCCTCCCTGTGGACTCCTCCTGTGGACTCCTCCTGTGGACTCCTCCTGTGGACTCCTCCTGTGGACTCCTCCTGTGTTGCTGAGGCAGCAGGTGAGGAGGTGCAGAGCTCCTTCACCCAGTCACCATGTTGGGGCGCTGTTTCAGGTCAGAGTGTTTGGAGGCTGGAGTCCACCTGGTGTGGTCCACCTGGTGTGGTCCACTTGGTGTGGTCCACCTGGTGTGGTCCTGTAGAACAGAACAGACACAGAGAGGGCAAAGGTCACAGGCTCCTCGTCTTTAACTGGTTTGTCTTTTTAGTCGACCTCCTCTGACCTTTGACCTTTTTCTCTCGCTCTCTCTCCCCCTCTCTCCCTCCACACAGGCAGTGCTAACACCTCTGTGATGTTCAACAAGGACGGTGACGCTCCCGGACGCTACGACCTCTTCCAGTTCCAGATGACCAACTCCTCCACCCCGGAGTACAAGGTGGTGGGTCAGTGGGTGGAGACCCTGCAGCTCAGGGTAGGACGGACTTCTAACACCTGGATTCAACACTGTTGTTGTTGTTGTTGTTGTTGTTGTTGTTGTTGTTGTTGTTGTTGTTGTTGTTGTTGACTTCAAATCTTCTTGAGGTTTGAAGTTTGAAGTTAAATCACATTCACTACAACAAACATGACCGTGACCTGGACCATGACCTGGACCATGACCTAAGAATCTTCATAGACAAGGAGAACCTGGCATGACCTGGACCATGACCTGGACCATGACCTGGACCATGACCTGGACCATGACCTGGACCGTGACCTGGACCGTGACCTGGACCATGACCTGGACCATGACCTAAGAATCTTCATAGACAAGGAGAAGTCAGTGTGAACAGAAGGACAAATAAAAAAGATAAAAATGTCTGGGTTCCTTCAGGACTCAAACCATATGGTCTGTAGAAGAGGGTGAGGAGGGTGAGGAGGGTGAGGAGGGTGAGGAGGGTGAGGAGGGTGAGCGTTGGTGGAGATCACGCTGCTCCTCTGCTCTGGTTGGAGGCAGGACTTTGAAGGAGAGAGAACGTCCAGATGTTCCACCCTTGGATTTACTGCAGTTTTTCTGTGTACAGAGCCCTGAAGAAGTACTGAATGGTACTCTGTACTGCAGTATACTGTATACTGTAGTACATGTCAGTGATACAGCTAGTACTACTTGTACGGTGGGAGCTTCCTGAAGATTTTCCTCCTGATACCAGGGATCAACACAGCTGCATTCTTCCACTGGACACTGTGTGGCGCTGTCTCCCTCTCTGGTTTTTTTACCCATTTTTATAACAATAATATAAAATGTTTTCTTAATTATTATTAGTTTATACGATCAATGTTTTTGTTTATGTCTTTGATCTTTAGTCTTTCTTCTTTAATTTAATTAATCAATAGTTTATTTCTGGGGGGGTACGGGGGGTGGGGGGGGGT